TCCGTATAGACTTTATTTTAAATATAAATTTAAATTCTTAAATTTATAAAATAAATAAATTTAAACTTTTATTGCTTAATCCCAATGATTTTTAATTTAATTTAATGTAAATTGCAGCGACATTTGTTATACATAATGGCGTGGCAAGGATCATTCCGGAAAATCAAACATAGATGTCAACATTTTTAATAGTTAAATTTAATAGTTGAATATATAAAATATATGTTTGTTAATAGCATATATAAAAAATATGTTTGTTAAATATATATAAAAATAAAAATAAAATATAAAAAAATATAATTTGAATATTAAACAAAACCTTTTTCTTTTGCTTTATTTCAAAACAACTTTGAATGAAGAATAGTACACTAGATCAAGAAGAAATTAGAAAGAGAGAGAGAAATAATTTAAATAAAAGAGAGAGAAAGAGAGAAAGAGAGAGTGGTATCAAAGCGATTATTAAATTTTAATAATTGCAATCTAGTTAAATGATCACATATTGCAATATTTGGAAATATTTCTAATCATTAAATTCTCAGTTTATTAAAAACCGTGAACACTATTTAAGGAAACAATCAATTTATCATATTGCAAAAATTAATGAAAAAACAAAATAAATTTACTACTGCAAAAAAAAAAAAATAATAATAACAGTCAAAACTAAAGATTATAAATAAAAAAAAGGTTATAGAAAAAAAAAATTATTACTAAAAGTCCAAAAATTTGTGTGGTAATTTAAAAATCAACCAATAAAAAACTATGCCAAAGCTATTTGTGCATTTTATAAAACATTAATGTAGATTTTTGTTTACGGGGAAAGTTTAAGGAATTATTTGTTTAAAAATCTATATATTTTATATTAGAAATTAATTAATAAAAAAAAATAATTTTTATATCCTTTTTATTATTATTATAAGAATATTCAAAGTATATCCTTATTATTATTATTATTATTTTATTATCTAATTTTTAATTAGATAATAAAAAAATAATAATAAAAAGGATATACTTCGTATATCCTTTTTATTATTTAAAATATAAGTAATTACAGTTATTTTTTTAAATAACTATAAAAAGTTCAAATTTATTTATATATACTTTTAAACTCCTCTGTCTTAAATTTTGTATGTATACAAAATTTCTTATAAATTAAATGCTCATTATTCTTTTGCAGATATGTATACATATCTTTTGCAGATATGTATACATATCTTTTGCAGATGTTACATATCTGCAAATAAGTTAAGAGCACTTAATTTATAAGGAAATATTGAATAAGATCTAAGTAAGATATAAAACTATTTTGTATCTTATTTCACTATTTATTTTATTTCAAACATTTGATTAGACTGTTGTGATTAGCTGTTGTTTTTTAATAACTATATCATACTTTATATTGCTTTATATAACTAAAGTTTAAATCATAATATTTAATAAAAAAATAGTAATAATATGGTTTTACACAATTAAAGATCAATAAAAATACTTTTTATTGAATTACAGCTATTAAGTTTAGTCATCATAACAGAATTTATGGTTTTTTAACAGCTAAAAATTTAACATCTGGAAGCATTGCAATTCGCCATCACTTAATTGGAGCGCTGGGTATCTAAAATACTTAAGTCTTTCACAGGAAGATGTGTGATGGCATGTCTTTATATGACCAGGCAATTTACATTTTGCTATGAAGATTTGAAGCCGGCTATTTCAAAATTTTTTTTAAAAACACGCTAAATAAAAAATATTCGGTAAAAGTGAAATAAATTACATCAAAAATTCTTAACAAATATTTTTATATTAGCGAAATGCTTTTAAATAAAGTAACAATTTACTGATAATGTTTTTTTTTTTTTAATATAATTGACAGTTACATATATTTTTTAAATTTATAATACATAAATTATTTAAGTGTACATTTTATTAAAAAATAAAAAATTGTTTTGCTTTTATAAACGATGACATTCTACGACAACCAAAGTCTCTTTAACGAATTTTAATATAAGAATAATTAAAGTTAATACATTTAAAAAGATAAACAAAATTTCGTTAAAAAAAAAAATGTTTTAGAAAGCCTTTACAATTAGATAAGTTTTATCTTAAATGCTTTTATATTATCGAAACGCTTTTCAATGAAGTAACAAAACACTTCTAATGAGTGTTTAAAATAAGTATTAATAAACTGTTGTTTTTTTTATCACAGATGAGTATTTGACTTTATGAAAATCCCGGAAATTTTTCTTCTTTGATAATCCCGGAAAATTGTTTTATTAAAAATTGATCGCATTTAACTGACAAACGGAATTTATATTATTTTAAAACGGAATTTATATTAATTAATTTTTTACAAAAAGGAATTTCTAATATTCGAAAAAGTTTGAATGAATTAAAAAGCAAAAAAAATGAAGAAAAAAAATTGTTACGAAAATCGATCTTGTGAAAATTTTAAATATAGAAAACATATTTGTTTAAATGCAAAAGTTGTTGTATGTAAAATTTTATGTAAAAATATAATAATTTTTTTTCAAATTAATATCAAAAAACATCCGGAAACTCCTGGAAAAACTAAAGGTGTTTTATGTGATTTTCCAGAATTCCGGGAATTTCTGGAAAAAAACTCATTTATGTTTTATCTATATAATTAGGTATTTTTTATTAGAAATGTTTATCTTTTGAAACATATTAAATTAAAAAAAACAGTACAAAGTTACAAATGTTAAAATAAAGAATGAAATGATTTTTTAATGTGTAAACTAAATTTTATTTTGATGAGTTTTGTTTTAGTTATGTTTTTTTTTTTTTTTTTAATTTTCTAATTCGTTAAGATTTTTTTGTCTTTTTTAAAGATTTATTTTAGATAAGTTTAGGTAAGTTTTTGTAGCACATTTTTAAAATTTGAAAATATGTCAAAAGCTGTGGTCAAATCGCCAAAACAAATTATTTTTTACGTGGTTACATAAAGACATGCAGGAGCTCTAAAAATTTAAATAAGATTACGAACAGGAAAAAAATTAGAACTTTTAAGTTAGAGGAACAATCAGTTTTTGAACCCAGAATCCTTAGGCATAATGACAACAAAGACTTATTGAAACTTACTTGGAACTTATTGCTTTCAAGGAACTTAAAAACAATAAGTTCCAAGTCATCAAATCTTATGAACTTTTTTCGTATAGGAGATCATAAGTCAACCAACAAGAAAAAATTGAGATATAAAACTGGAGTTCTTTTGGGAACTCACATCTCTGCACAGTATTATTTTAGTGTTGTTTTATATAACTTTTTACAATAGCAATTTAATACTCTTCTATAATAAAATATGACTTATTGTTAGCATGAATGGCATATTAAATAGTTTTTTATAACTGTTTAAAAGAGTTTAAATATTGTAATATTAGCATTTTTACTTTTTTAAATATCATGCAAAGTAAAAATAATTACTAAAAGTGATTTAATAGTATTAAATACGTTACTTGCATATTACACTATAACTGCAACTTAAGCTTTAAATTATAACTTAGGTGGTATATTATAACAGTAAGTTTTTATTTAAAACCCCACATTAAATTTCATAATTATTATGTTTAATTATAGCAATTACAAAGTAATGCAACCCCCCTGACCGCAAAGCAGCAGACAGGGATCAGGGGTCAAAAATAAGTAATCAGGAATCAAAATTTTATACCAATTTTGAAAAAAATTGTTTCATATAAAAATCAATTTTAAACTGAAAATAAAAAAGTACATTTTTACAACTTTTGTTAACATTTTTTTCTTTTTTAATGTTTTTTATAATAAAACAATGATTTTTGAAATTTTTACATGATATTGCTTTTTATCAGGATTCTTTACATGTTCAAGGGTCTTGAGGCACTTTTTAAAACATTTTTTGTTCAAAAATTCTTTAAATCCAGTATTATTTTATTACATAAAACATAAACCAATATTTATTGGCTTCAGTATATATATATATCTTATAGCATATCTTATATACAGTGATGTAGAAAGATTGGAAAGTTGGGGGGGGGGGGGGTGGCTGAAAACATACTTTAAAAAGGAAAAAGTTCCTCACTTTCGTATGATACAGCAAAATAGATAAAAAGTATCTATTTATTCATATAGATCACACGCAAGGTGATTAACCATCTCTTTACTGTTAGTCATCTTTTGCCAGCACACATTCATTTAAAAAATAGTAAGTATGCGATAGTATTTTAAACAGTTTTATGGATATACTTTTCCATGGTGATGTTTAATTGTGATTGAGTCATAACAGACTTGAAAATGATAATTCCGCTGTTGCTATCATAAAAAATTTTTTTTAACTGTTAAGGAAATAGGGGCACTAAATGCAGTGTCCACCCCCCAGTGTTTTAGTTGGGGGGCTATCACTACTTCCCCCTGTTCCTATGCCAGTGTATGTATATATATATAATATATATATATATATATATATATATATATATATATATATATATATATATATATATATATACATATATATATATATACATTATATATATATATATATATATATATATATGCATATATATATATATATATCTATATATATATATATATATATATATATATATATATATATATATATATATATATATATATATATATATATATATATATATATATATATATATATATATAATATATACATATATATAATACAGCAGGTTTAAGGCTACCAAAACCATCACTAAAGCCACATTATATTAGGAATAGTTTCATTTATATATATATATATATATATATATATATATATATATATATATATATATATATATATATATATATATATATATATATACATATATATATATATATATATATATATATATATATATATATATATATATATATATATATATATATATATATATATATATATATATATATATATATATATATATATATATATATATATATATATATATATATGTATATATATGTATGTGTGTGTGTGTTCAATTTAACAAGAATATAAAGCTGACCTAACAAAGAATCTAAAGCACTTGATCGAAGACCACTACACCTTTCTAAGTTGTCACTTTTATCTTTTGCATCTAAACTTTTTTTTGATAAAGTATTTTTTGGTTTAACATCTGAACTTTGAATCATTTCATGCTGACTTTTGCTGTTAATGTTGTCATTTTTAGATGTTGAAATGGATGGTTCCTTAATTTCAAGATCAGGTTTATTTATATAAAAATTTTGGGTCCCTTGCATCTTTGGAGTGACTATTGCATATTTTAGTATCTCTTCGTATTCATTAACAAATCCAGTTGAAACAGAACTTCCTCGAGATATTTCTTCAGTGAAATCTGGTATTGAATCTGATTTGCTTACTATACTCATTCTCAAAAAGCTTGAGTTAATTCGAATTTATTAGGTGAATTAAGCTTTACATATAAAACTATAGATTATCTATTCGAAAATTAAAAAAAAATCAATATTTGAGAATTTCAAATAATATTGGGAACGTGTGGATACATTTTTAGCGTAACTGTTTATTTGTTTATCTACTGAAATTACATTCCCCGTTCGTACTAATAAAAAACGTTTTATACTTCTAATATTAAAAACTGTATAAAAAAACACTAAACAAAATGGTAAGGTTTTATTTTAACTTAAAAAAAAATTCATTAATTTATTATTATTGTTTTATAATTTTTTTTTTGAATAACACACATTAATACCCTTTCCAAAAAAAGCGTGCATTACTGTTAGTGTGAACAGGGTATTTATAATTTTGCAGATATTCTAAACTGAATAAGACCGCGCAAAGTTCAAATTGTAATTATTTAAATTATGCAGGTGAAACGGCATAATTTAAATTATAGAATAGCATAAAATGGAAAAGATGCTGAACACACTTAAGGTGTGTTGAGTCTTAATTAATTAAGACTCTTAATTAAGAGTTTTAATTCTGCGTAATTAATTACGTAGAATTAAAACAAGGACAGTCTTAATTACGTTTTTAAAAAGGTTTAAGTTATCTTCATCTATTATCCATTGAGGAAGAGAATTCCAATCGTTTGTAACTCTATTTGTGAAAAAATGGTGACGAATTCTCGAATTGGTAAATTGTCTGCGTGTTCTACAATTGTTACTTCTACTTGATTGTTCCTATTCAAAATTTAATGGAGGATGGTAAAAATTAACAATATATTTTCCTTTTAAAATCTTATACATTTGAATAAAATCACCTCTTCTATCATGCAAAGTCGGTATCGTTCAAGTATCTTTAATTTTTCTTTATATGATTTCCCCCTTAAAGATTTGATTCTAGTAGCCCTGTGTTGCACGAGTTCAAGATTGAAGTCCATTTTGGAAGAAGGACTTCCAAAATGGACTTCAAACTGCTGCTCCATATTCCAAATGAGGACTTACAAACGATTTGTATAGTAATTTTAATTAAAATTCATCTAAACACTCAAAAGATTTTTTGATCATGTCTAATTTTCTGTTTGCTTTGCCTATAGCTGAATTAGGGTAAGGTTGCCGATATTGTACCCTCTAAGAGTAAAGTCAAAAATAGAGAAAAAATACAAAGTAGAAACAATTTTATTTTATAATTTGGGGATAAACTGTTCTAAAAAAGTTGAAATATTCAAATATTTAAACGTTGTTATTTGATAGGGAATTAAATTTTAAAAACACGCTATCGGTACAATTAAGGAAAAAAGATCCTAAATCGTACCATTATAATCCAATATTGTACCTATATCTTGATTTTACAAATACTATATTAATTTACAGTACATTTTAAATGATTTTTATTAAGATCTTTTTCTGTGCCAAGCAATGTAAAAAAGTTCCTAGAATAGTCTGAAAACATCTCAATAAGGTATAACTTTTATATTAAATGTGTAACTTACTTATGTGGTTTCTACAATTTTGGTAAGAAAATGATGGATATTACTGCACATTATATTAATAGTACAAAACAGAAAATCTTTATTCTTGACAAAAGTTACAAATATAACGTTTTTGTTTTTGATTAACACCTGCACAGTCATTATGGCACCAGCCTTGACATGTAAGGCATTGTATCATACTCTTTTTTATATTTTCTTTACAGAGGTAGCAAAACCAGCTTTCATTTTGAAGAGATTTATTTGCTTGCTCACACTCTTTCAAACAATGTCTGTCCTGCTTTATTTTTTTATTTGGTCGCAGTAAAGCTCTTCCAGAGAGTGCATCTTTGTAAGGACTACTCGTCAATACAGTTGTATTAGAATTATTTTTTTTCTTTTGAGAGGAGAAGTTCTAACTGGAAGTGGAGATAATGCTTTTATTGGTATGTCGAGACACTGCAGCCTAAAAAATAACCAATAACAATTCTAACAAATTTTCTTCAGCCTAAAAATTTTCTGCTAGTAAAAATTAGCTTTAAATTTTCATTTTAATTAAGAAAATAATAATATTATTGATAGCCTTCGGAGATGAACATGTGTGTGTGTGTGTGTATTGTGTGTGTGTTTTGAGTGTGTGTAACCATTAATGTAAAACTGCAACAAACAAAATAAAAGACTTACTGTTCTGTTTTTTCATTGATGATAATAAAGTTACGTTAGAGAGTGGGTCATTATGTGCATTATGTTTCAATAGAGTAGCTCTAGATTTTTTCGGATTTCACTCGAGTGAAGAAGTTTGCACTGGATGTGCAGAAATTGTTTCTAAAATAAGTTCATCCTAAATAAATGAAACGTTAAACAAAAAATATATAATTAGAACAACAGTACCAATTATGGTATTTGAATAAGTTGAAAAAGAAAAATATGTGACTAAAGGCAAACTATGACTAAACTTACTGTTTGGGAAGCTTTTGCATTTGAACTCGTCTCTCCACTGAGTACTGTTTCGCCAAACAGTTGAGATACTTGATATTGAGTAATACATCTGCCTGGATGGGTTCGCATCCATTTATCACAAGCAGTATTATATTTAGAATTTAAAGCTTTGAAAAAAGATCTATCTAAAGGTTGTAGCCTATGAGTAGCATGCGATGGCAAAGAAAGCATTACTACTCCGTGATCTTGAGCTAGAACTAAGGCTTCAAGGTTTTTTGTATGTGTTGAATGCCCGTCAAGTATAAGAAGAACTTTTTTTTGTTCTGGATTTTCTGCAAGAGGTTTAAGACAAAGTGAGCTTATAAAATGACTTATCCACAAAGTAAATCAATCTTTAGTTATCCAACCAGTATCAGAACATCCAAAAACTGTCAATGGTGGTGCACCATCTTTAAGCTCATTTTTAAATCTTTTACGTTTAAATATAAGCATAGGAGGTACAAAAGATCCAACAGCATTCATACAACATATGGCAGTGGTATTCACACCTCTTTTACCACTTGTAATACCTCCTACTTGGTGTTTACCTTTCAGAGATAAAATTTTCCTTGGTTTGTGAACTGTACTTATTCCAGTTTCATCTACTAGGTACGTGAGTAAAAATTTCAAATTGTTTGAATACTATAATGTTATATATCATTAGAAAGAGGATTATTATAGTATTTTAAAGGTGAAAAAATTATCAAAATCGAACAATTGGTTCAAAAGTTATGACGGTTTAAGTACCGATTTTTCGATATTAGGATTTGTTGAAGAAACTGTGGTCAAAGTAATATTTTTCTTTACTTAAATTGTCATAACTTTGTCAATTCTTATCAAAAAACAAATATCTTAGTGTCAAAAGATAGGTGTAAGAGTGGGCTACAACTTTATGTTAAACTCTAACCACCGGGCGTTTCGGACGGACAGAGGGGACACCAAACCAACACCATGCCCGTACGAAACTGAACACTTTTTTCAGAAAAAAAGTTTTTTTTAAAGACATAAGCAATATAAATATTAAAACAAATTGTTTTAAATTTATACTTAACCATTAAAATACATAAGAGGTGTATGTTAGCAATAGAGGTGTGTGTGGTGGTGTTGGTTTGATACACTCTAGTATCAAAAACGACTTGATTTTATATTTATATCTTTACTGAAATGTGTAAAATTAGTAAACAATATAAAATTATGTTATACATGATCTTACGTCTACAACTGGTGTTTCTATTACGGGAAAGCGTATGCCTCCCCCCCCCCCCATCCTTAAAAAATATATACAATTACTGTTTTCAAAATTTGAATAATAAATTTAAAAATGAAATTATGAAATTGGAAAGAAATTAAAAAATAAATTCATATCAGACGACCATCAAATATGGAAGATGAATGTAAAACTCATAGTAGATATGTTGATGATGTTTTAAAGGGGAAAAAGGCATTGTAATGCCCCTTCCCCCTCTAACCTAATATTATTATTTAATTGGTTATATATTACTAAAAAAACTATACAACTACTATTGTGGGGCTATAATTAAGTCAATTGGCTTTAAAAAACATGTCATCTTTATAACCAAGTATAGCAAATACCTATATTATTGTCTTTCATGTGATTCTCACATTAACAGAACCATACAGTATGGTTAACGAGCTAACCATTTTCTTCGGTTAATAAACAAATTTCCTGTTTCAAAATAAACATTATTTATGAAAGTCACAACACTTGCAACATATTTTTGACAAGTCACAACACTTGCAGTGTTATTAAATTAATTAAATTGTAACTCACTGGAAACAACATCAGCAGCAAGCTGGATCTTTTTCATGCAATAGTCAACAGCTCTAATATCAGTTTCATCATCTTTCCATTAAGAAATGGTGTAAATAAACATATTTTTTTTTTATTAACTTTTTCTACTCTTTTGCTATATAAAGCACTTTTGCATGTTTTTGGATCGTACCATTCATGTTCTAGTTTCTTCCAAACAATTCTATCTGACATGACATCTTCTAAATCAAATAGTTGGTCATTGGACAAGCGCTTGCATGAATTAATAATTTCTTTAAAACTCAATTTGGATAGCTCACGCTCTAACTTTCTTTTTTCTTTTTCATCAATTTTATGGCGCTTGATTTTTTGTCTTTGGCAAATCTCATCTCTCACTTTGCATCGATGCAGTTGATTTGTAAATCTGTTATTATGTGCTACATTAATTGACCATTTAACAATCTTTTTTCTTAAACTTAAATCTTTTAAAAATTTTTTTTTAAATCAAAACATTTATTCAACAAGGAATACTAACACAGCATACAAATACTTTAAATGATATAGTAACTAAAACAATTCAAACTTAACTTCTGATTGTTTGTTCTAAATTGTCTACAGAAAAAAAAGAGTGACTTAAAAAAATGTAAGTATTAAGTATACAAAAATACAACTAACAAGAAATAATTTTGTTAGACAACAATCTACACAGGCATAATAAAGAACTGTATTAGAAAACTAATATCATTTATATATGTATGTATATATATATATATATATATATATATATATATATATATATATATATATATATATATATATATATATATATATATATATATATATACATATATATATATATATATATATATATATATAGAACATATATT